TACGAGCGAGAGGACGTGAATACAGCTATGACGATATGGCTGTCCAAGCCAGCGCGTTCAGAGCAGTCTGTTATCTCTGCTTAGCATAGGATTGCGCTACATAAACACAACCTAGGTGATGAAACCACGTAAAGCCCATCCACTTGAAACAAGACGTAAGTTCCTGAGTTACTCACGCAATTACATGTATGACAATAAAAGAGTATTACTCAGACTCAATTCTCTAAACTTTGAGGGAGCAGAAGGCAGAGAGCGTGGTTTAGGATTTTGCCACGTGAATGTCTTACTGTGCTTTGCAATATCCTTGCAGCCGGTTTTTTAACAGAACCTCTGGCCTTTGCTTATTGGGCGCTGTGGTTAAGTGGATCCTGACTCCAGGTGTTTGTAAAACAATTTCTTTCATATTTCTCTTGGCAAGTGTAGTTCACAGAGATGTTTACACAATTGGTACTTGCAGCCCTGCTTTCTAGGGAGTACAGCCCTTTTCCCTCAATATTTGGCCTTCTGAATGACTTTCTTTTGGCAGCTTGCCAGAGCTTAAGTTTGGAAACATCACTAGCATTTTTCTTCTGTAATGAACTTCTAATTAGTGTACCTAATTTCTCTATTTAGTTAACGATCATGTCTGACTGCCTCTGTGCTCAGAGAAACATAGATTACTATTTTTAGTGATGTTGAAAATAAATTAGAGAAACTCTTCAGTTTGGATTGTTGCTTTCCCCTTCCCCCCCTCCCCCCACCCCCACCGTGGTCTAGATAAATTTTAATGTATGTGCTGAAAAAATGCATATCTGTGCCCAGGTTAAAAATATGTGCATTTGTACATATATGTACATTAAATAAGAAAATTAGTTGAATTATGATACACTTTTTAAAGTAATATTAAAGATTCCTATATTAGTAAGGTAGCTCAAGTAACCTTTTTTGATTTCTAGTTTTCTTTTTTCACTGTATGGCCTTCTTTCTTATGTAGTGCCAAGAAAGCATCCAATACCAGTAATCATCCTGCTTGATTAAACCTCTTTAGCCCAGTCAGTGGATGTGCTGCCATACTGGAAAATTCTACTGGGGTTGACATGGTTCATGCAATGCATACATTCACACTCTGCAAAACAGGTTGAGTTGCTTGTTGTGTTTTCAACACTAATATGCCTATCAGTGACTTTTCTCATAAGTAATACCATTGGCATAAACACAAAGAAAAAAAACCCCAATATGTTGGGCTGTGAGTAATAAGCAGAAAATAGAGCAGCGTTTAAGTGTGATAGGAGTTGAGCTGCCAAAGTCCATTGTATCATATTGAAAATGTACGATCAGATTGCTGCGTTCAATATACTATGCACATGTCCCACCTCAAGTTTCTCGATTGAGTCATGAGAGTTATGTTGACACACGGGTGCATACACCCTGACTTTTTGTATGGTAAGACCTTCCTATGGATGTGTAGATGTTTAATATCTTTATCAGTGACCAAGTTGGGCAGGAGTGTTGATCTGCCTGAGGGTAGGA